TCAATCTCAAAGGATCATACATCACTGTTTTGTCATTCCTTATGCTTGTTAGAGAGGTACAATTAAGTGAAAATACAAGTGAAGATTACATTTTGGGGAAAACGTGTACAGAAGTTGCTGAGTTCTAATTAGTGGAAATATTACTCAAAAATACTGCCCAGGAATGTAAATATGCTACATTTTGGTAATGTGGTAAGAAATTAGGAGCTTTACGCAGATTACGATATCAGAATGGTCATCTGCAAGGTTAAATTGGTGAATTCACGAATAGTATGGAGTACTGTGGGTGCAGTGTACCAACAAACCCTATTTTTATCTTGTTGGCTGACTGTTAGTGAGCTATGTACGTTAGGGAATAATTAAGGGTAAAGTAGTCAGTCAGTCAGTCAGTCAGTCAATCTGCACCCACATGCTTCCTCCAATCATTTAGACTGTAAAATTGTTCAGGGAAATTGCTGCTGATTCCTTCCTTCTGCCACAAAGATGGCTCAAATCAGTTGCAGAAAATCAATGTTCAAACAGTTACGATTAGTCACAAAACTGTTTTTCACGTACCTCAACCTCCAGCATTTTGTCTCAAATAATTCACTGACCTATGCTTTTGCATCCACTGGTCTTCTGTATTGTTTCTCCAGATATCCAAGTTCTAGACTATTTAAGTTCACTTATTCCACCTATGAATTATATCTTAACTTGTTCATTCTGCATGTATATAACATTAATTATTTAATCATCATGACACCAGGATGAGAAGGGGCTCCACAGCATTACAAAATCTGTGACAAATCTGGACCCTGTTAAAATTCATCTATAGGAGGAGCAACATAAATGCCAGGAATGTATTATTAAACTTTTTCTGTGTTGACATGATGCTAAATCCTAGAAACTGGCCAATATAGTCAGTTTCAAAGCTGTTTGACAACCGATTTAGTGTTCATATACACAAATAGCATCTTCACAATTAGAACAGACAAGTGTCCTCAATTCCATGCATTTACACAATGTAGTTCAGGATTTATGTTGCTGTAATTGGTCATTATCAAAATATAAACATAATTATCTTAAAGTAAGAATCAGAGATACTGGCAATTTAAAGGGAAAATAAATTTACCATTGGAAACATTTATCTTATAACCTCACTTACCACATTCCATACTGAGGTGTTAGGATTAGAAATGTTTTATTTACACACTATGATTGACAACAAAGAAGAAAGCTGGAAACCACAGGAATGTATCAACGGACTGGTCAGGTGGGCAGAAATGTAGCAAGTAAAATTCAATGTGAATAAGTAAGGGGAGATAATACGTTTGGGAAGGACAAACAAGGCAAGAGAATACAAAATAAATGAGAAATGTGGAGGATTGAAGGACTTTGGGGTTCGTATCTACATATTCCTGAAGGTAGACAGATAGAAAACATAGTTAAGAAGGCATATAGGATACTCCATTTTTTTTAGCGGAGACATAGCATTAAAAGCATGGAGTTTGTGTAAGAACGGGATAAAACACAAGTTAGAACACAGCTAAAGTATTGTTTACAGTTATGGTCAACACATTACAGGATTGAGTGCCCACTGGAGAGGGTGCAGAAAAATTTCAGGAGGATGTTGCCAGAAATGGGGAATTTTAGCCATGAAGTATTGGACAGGCTGATTGCGGAGCAGAGGAGTCCAAGAAGATTTGATTGAGGTGCATAAGTATTGTGGAGGAGCCTAGACAGAGCAGGTAAGAAGGACCTATTTCTGAGAAGAGAATCAAAAATTAGAGACATCAAAAATTGGTAAAAGGCAAAGAGATTTTTTTTCACCCAAATGGCTAGGAGCCTAGAAAGTGTGGAAGCAGAAACCTTTAATATTATCAAATAAGGATATGTGCTTCAGGTGCCATAACATACAGGACTGTGTCAAGAGCTGCAAGGTAGGATCAGAGTGTACAGTTTTTTTTCACACTGTACAGATACAGTGGTCCAAATGGTCTCGTGTGCTATAAATCTTAGTGCTTCAATGCCTATATCACCTTCTCCCTTCCTCTTCTGCTTTTAGCTACTTGCAGCACAGCTGGTGACATGAGCTCTGTCTTCATAATGGTAAAATTATGTAAATGCAGCAAACCATTACGAATTGTGACACATACTCTGCCCAACACGGGGGCTTCTCCAGAGCAACTCTGCAGTGAAATGAATTCACACTGCCTTCATGGTATGCATGCTGTACATGCTGGAAGGAGCCCAATGCATACGAGTTCATGGTCATGGTCACCTTCACATCAGCTGTCCTTGCTACACTGAGGTTGCAACAAGCAACAAATTTCAATGAAGGCATCCTTACTGAAGCACACATATTTCACGAAGTGCTTCCTTATTAAGATTGATTCGGGTGAGGATTGCTGTGGATACTGTGGGTGGATGTGCCTTGTGTGGAGACCCTTTCCTCCCTTCTCTGCTCTCTTCCTGCAGCTTGCCCTGCTCTATGCCTCCTGCTCATTCTTCCTGTAATGCTGTATTCGAAGGGGAATGCTTTTAGAATCACAGAATCATACAGTACAGAAGAGGCCCTTTGGCCCATTGAGCCAAAAATATACTACAATCTACCTCGACCCACTTTCCTGCACTTGAGTCTTTTTAAAAGTTGCAAAGTTTCCTGCCTCAACCATCCTCCCAGGCAATGCATTCCAGGCACCCACCGTCCTCTGGTTGAAAAAAAAGAGGTGTTTTTTTTTATCTCCCCCTCAAATTCCCTCTAAATCTCCTGACTTTCACTTTAAGGTTATTCCCCCCTTCCCCTTCAAACAAATCCTTCCTTATTGCGTGGTGATCAGAACTGAACCCTTTACGACAGCTGAGGCCTAACCCAAGTTCTCTACAGTTCCAACATGACATCTCTGCTTTTATTATCTATGCTATGACAGATAAAAGCAAGCATCCCATACACCTTAAACATCCTATTAACCTGTCCTGCCACCTTCAAGGATCTGTGGACAAGCACCCCAAGGTCCATCTGTTCCTCCGAGCTTCCTCATGTCTTGCCATTCACTGAGTACTCCTTTGGTATTGTTCTTCCTTTCAAACTGCATCACCTCATTTATTAGGGTTAAATTCCATCTGCCACTGATCTGCCTGACTGTCAAATCTGTTTATATACTTCGGTAACTTAACACCTTCCTCCTCACTGTCAACCACCCGGCCAACCCTTGTGTCATCCACAAACTTACTTATCAGACGCCCCATGTTCTCATCTACATCATTTATGAATATCACAAACAATACGTGATCCAGGAACAAAAAAACAGAAGCTGCTAGAAAAGCTCAGCAGGTCTGGTAGCATCTGTGAAGAAAAATCAGAGTTAATGTTTCAAGTCACTGGACTTCTGTTTCTTGTTACTGATTTACAGCATCCCCAGTTCTTTCGGTTTTAATAAGCGACCCAGCACTGAACCCCGTGCTAGGCTACCACATACTGCGCTCCAGACATACAAACAACCTCTACCACCACTTTCTGTCTCCTGTCACTAAGCCAATTTTAGATCTAACTTGCCAAGTTACCTTGTATGCCATGAGCTTTTACCTTCTTTATCAGTTTCTCATGTGGAACCATGACAAAGGCCTTGCTGAAATCCTTAAATACATTAATCTCCCTACCCTCCTCCAAACACTTGGTTACTTCCTTGAAAAATTTCACTAGATTTGTTAGGCATGCCCTCCCTCTGACAAAGCTTTTGACTATATGCATGTGTAGGTGCAATTAGATTCTGCAGAAACCTTGAAGTCAGGACCAAGTCCTTCAGTGTGTGCCAGACCATTCACCTGTAGACTTTTCATCCATGATTAATCAAAGTCTAAGAGGGTATGTAAGCATCTCTCTCCATTGAATGTAATTCTGCATGCTGTTGTCAATCTCCCTCACTCCTGTTTGTAGTGATGTCCACCCAGCCAGTCCTTCTGAGCTGTCTGTTTTTCATAGTGTTTTATCTCCTATGCCTTCCATCATCTGGGTCTCACCTGCTTTTACCTCATATTCGTACATTCTCAATTTCCACTTCTTCAGTTCAGCAAAATGCCCATGAGATACTGGGATTCAGGTCTACTGGGGACAAATTCACTGGTTTGTTGCTCTGTCTAGCTAATTCTAAAATTTAAAAGATGTAATCCTTTTCTCTTCAGCCTTATCGAAGTCATATAGCTGAAAGCTGGACCAATCAACAGTAACAAACTACTGAGCTCTTCTGTAGATTCAGCAACGGCCAACAGAAAATTAGCAACTACCTTGCAAGTCGTTAATGATTCTTTTAAATAATGTTGGTGGGGGAGCCTTCCTGCTGCTGAATGCCTGTTCAGCCATGCATGATTAAGAGAAGCGATCCAAATAGCAGCGCTGGCATCAAATTAGCACAGCTCACCTGACTGACATGTTGATTTGCCTGCTCTGCATACTTCTATTCATGCCCACTGTGCACATGGTTGCACCCTCCCAATAATGCATTAAGCACGATTCACAACAGAACTCTTCATGTATGCCATGGACCCTGTTTCAGATATCTTGGGGAGTTCAAGCAGCCAAAAAGGCATCAAGAACCGAAATTTCACAATCTAGCTCGTTTTAGTAAAGATACTTTTTGTAGTCGTCTTCCGGTAAGTTTCAATTCAGAAACAATGATAATACATGCACACACACAAATATTACTTAAAAATTTATCGACTATGGAATGGTTTAAAAAAAAAGTCAATTCTTGTCATTTATGCCATGGACAGTTTGCATGCAAACACCAGCATAGGTACTACTGTAAGAAGAAGCAAAGACCATGTAAATACATAACATTGTTATGCACTTTATACCCTGTATAAAGTAGATATAAGCTTCCCAAAATATCAAATGCCATCTAATACACATTGCAGTAGATGTTTTTCAGGCAAAGCAGTGTTATTTAAAAAAAACTAATCACTGCTCTCAGGAGTAAACAAGCTACGATAACAAAGTCATGAAGTTTAGATTTAATATTTACCCAAATAACATAAAGACAGCTGCAGGCATCAAGAGAATCTCATTGCACGCAATGAACTTGAACAGGCTCTGCTGGTGTGTTGTCATTTTGTCTAAAAAGGATCGCACCCATGGCATGGAACTAGGGCCAATGATCTACAAGAAATGAAACAAAAAAGTTGCTGACAGTATGTTGCCTTATTCATCACCCATAAAAGCAAAGCTACTTTCTATTCAGCAATGTATTTCAAAAATCTACAAAAATTTCCTGGTCATACACCTTTAATAGAAAGTCAGGCAAATTCACAATGTCTTTCTACACATTTGTTGCAGGACAGGATACTGCAAAATACCTTTGTGGCACAAAACAGTATGCCATCAAGACTATGCATTATTAAAACTTCATCTGTTTTGTGTACAGCATTTCGTTTAACACCGATATAAAAACGTCTAATGCATAATTGTGATGGCACAAGATGGAGCTAAATGTCACATTTTAAGATTCAAAAGCTGAAAAGGAACACCACAGAACAAGATTGCCTTCAGGAAACTATCGAGACTGAGTTAGTTTCAAATCAATTTTGTAATGCAACAATTTAGGCACTTACAGAAGGTAACACTTCTTATTTAAAACACTCAACTGATTCCAGAAAAACAAAGTAGAATAAGCTGGCCTGAATAAAATACGTCACAGCTTTAGACTTGACAATTTCACTCAAAAATTAATTCATTTTTAATGTGGTGACCATTACACTTGACCTTTAGTTAGGAAAGCAAAGACTGATTTTGAATTTTTTAAAACTTCAGGAGTATGCTGATATCAAAGTGATACTTTTGGCACAGTGCATTACATTTGAAGTTCCCAATTATTGTAATAAGTGCAACATTTTTCAGTCAGTCACACCTTCATACTCCAGTTTACTACATCACTTTTGTGGACAGGCCCAATTTGTTGATTTCAATTAACAGGCTATAAACTCCTGAAAAGCTTTTGTGCAGTCATCCAGATAAGCACACAAACAGTTTTTGTAAGACCTCAAAGCTAAATAATGGTGTTTCTTTTGCAAGGATATCATTGATTCAAAACTATCAAAACAGAGAATGCCTCTTCAACAAAACATTTTGCTAACTTTAAACACAAAAGTACCTGTGCAACTGTCACAGTGTAGTTTTTATTTTCTCATTTTAAATGTCATAACTGATTAATTGATATTGTTTACAGTTAACATGATATTTAATAAAAATATAATTTATAAACATAACTACAAACTTAATCTTCAAGAAAGCAAGTCAATTGAGACACTGATTTATTTAACAAGAAAAAAAAATCCTAAACTATTTTACTGGTAGACTTCAATCTGAAGAATAGTATTTAAAAAAAAACAAATTTCTTATGTCATCTCATACTTTTAGATAGGTGGAGACATGACTTCAAAGCCCAAGCCCATTTATCTCAAAACAAATTGCAAAAGGACCAACTTAATTCAGGTTGGCTAAACAAATACCCTATCTTATAACATAAACACAATCCTTCGAAAACCTTTCATAGCATTGATCACAATAACTCAAAAGGACAAATTATTTTACAACAAGAAAAACAGAAATGTTTTGAATGAACAGGTTTAATCTTGAAATTATCATGAATCCTTTTTTTAAAAAAACATCAATGGCACTTTCGCTACTGAAATCTTAATATCTGCACCACAAATACAAAACAAAAAAAAATACGAAGGCAAGAATTTGCTTTGTTTGAGTTACAAATGCTCCAGTTTCAGCAACAGATAAAGAGAGGCATGGGCAAATTAGATGATGTTGTGGAGATGAAACAGGTCTTAGTGATGGATTCGACAAGGGATTGGCAGCTTATCTTGTGGTCAAGTGTAGCACCAACATTGCAAACAGTCTGGTACAGCCTCACACATACGCAAGTGTTATGATCCCAGCTGAAGGCAATACCAAACAAGTCAGATTCCAGAGTCAAAACAGGCATGATAAACTTCAAATTCCATTTTTTTGCAATTTAGTTAACATGTATTGGCCAGGCACCAAACATAATAGCAAGATGGACAATAAACTGTTCTAAAACGAAAAACTGCTTGTGATTCCTAAGTGTCTGTTTTTCTGCCCATTGTAAAAGTTCCACCTAATTCCTGGTATTTAGGATCTTCCCAGATAGCTTGTTAACCCTTGAATTTAATTCACATATCTTTTTTGGAAAGGCTGTTTGAACTCTGTTCCAAATAAATTTTTGACTCATTCTTAGATTTAAGAAGTCAGAACTTCACAACACTGAAACCAAAACCCACTTATCCCTACTTTAGAATTCAAGTTCCCAAATTATGTAAATTTTCATCATGCCTCCAACAAGGATAAAAGGTATCTTTAAGAGATATTCAATTTCACATGTCCAATGTTGTTAATTGTACCTTATATTAACGGTAATAATATACTTCTATTAAACACACAGGCTTCCATATCAAAGATAGTAGGAACTGCAGATGCTGGAGAATCCGAGACAACAAGGTGCAG